TTGATTCGATAGATTGATAAATTCGTTAGATTCGGTAAATTCGTTCGATTAGGATTACTCTACAGTGACTTGATTCGTAAGTTCGTAAATTCGGTGGAACTACAAGTAAACACACACACAACAGTTTTAACATACAGATCTACCTGCACTGTTAAACAGAGGAAACACAAGTGCATTAAATACCTATTTGGCCTTCTCTGCCTCCATGGAGCTTCTCTGATTGGAACTTTGTCTGTTTCCTCTTCTGTCTGGTGAGCATGTGTCTCTAGAAAACTCTAACAGGGAGTTTTACACAGGCATAAATGTGAAACTGGCTGGGATTGGCTAAGGCTCTGTACAGTGTGAGGCTGTCTGTGATTGGTTCAGCTCTATACTAACTCTTAAAGGCATATTTTCCTTTTCTGCTTCTGCTAACACAATGAATATATAAATGTCATATAACAATCAAAGACATAAATTACAGCAATGATTCTGCTTTTGACTTTAACATGTGCCCATATACACTGTACTGAGGTTATTGGCAGGTTTGGTATACACATATATGTGAACCATATTAGCAACCTAGGACTGGTCTTAGCTGGCCAGCTACAAATGCCCCTTTGGCATATCTCATTTAGGGGCAGGTTATGAATTCTTGTGGGACCCTCAGTGAACATCTGATAATGGGAGGCCCCATACAACGCAATGAGAGGCTGAGAGCACATGCTGTCATTTGCAGCTGTTCACATGTAATCTGAAATTCTGCAGTTACCTGTGGATGATTGGTATCCAAACAGTTTGCATCCAGGAATAATTACTCACAGGTAATACTGCCAATGACATGTACCTGGCTGTGGGCACTGTGGGTAACTTAGGGTTTCACAGGAATTCATAGTCTGCCCCTTAGCACAAATATAAGTAAGGTCTTAGGGACAATGTACCACCTTTCTTTGTCAAAGCATACTCAACTAAATCAGCTAGTATTTCATGGACATGTCAGCATTTGGCCCCTGACTCTTAGATTTGCAAAGCTGCCACTCTGTTCTCAAGTCTTATAGATTTTACTAAGTGGATGTTCAGGACTCATTTGATGCAGTTGTAAGATTCTTCAAGCAGCCCTGCAGGCAATATTGAGCCTACTATTTAATCTGCTTTAACATGCAGGCCTGTTAATGTTTTGGCTCGCCATTCCCTCATTCGGACTGCTTTTGGATGTCCCAATGTAACAGAATTACGTTACCCTATGTCCCTTATTGTATGATAACAAGATTTTAACATGCAGTAAAATCATTTTCTTGGAGTACAGCTCTGTTCTTATGATCCACTTCTGCTATTGCTTTACCACAAAACTAGCACACAATGGGAGTGATGGGTTTTTACTAGGCTGCCTTACATGGGAGCTGTTTTTGCATGCCAAATGTTTTTTACTTTTGCCCAGCCAGCCCCAATATTTGCACTGCTCTACCAGACAACATAGCCAGGTTGGTGACCTGACTTTACTGCAGGGAAGCAAGGTCTTCTCTTGCTTTCCAGCCTGTGATTGGATAGTGAAGGTGCAGCAGTATACTGATGCAGTGATGTATTTAGGTTTTGGGCTGCCATAGGCAACACAAACATTGTGCGTCCCCCCCTTGAGAGAGCGAGAGCTCAATGAGTGTGTGTGTATATGATTCTCTCTCTCTCTAACCTCTCTCTCCCCTCTCCCCTCTCTCTCTTCTCTCTCTCACTCCTCCCTCTCTCTCTCCCCTCTCTCTCTTCCCTCTCACTTCTCCCTCTCCCCACTCTCACTTTTCCCTCTCTCCCCCCTCTCTCTTCCTCCTCTCTCTTCCCTCTCACTCTTCCCTCTCTCTCTTCCTTCTCTCTCTCCTCTCAAATTCAAATTCAAATTAGTCTTATTAGCATTTTTAGCATTGCCAAAGCAGTTTGTATGGGAAAAGGTGGTGGGGGGGGGGAGGGGTAATATAAAAGGGGATGAGGGAAGGGTCCATGTAAAGGTTTTTCATGTCCCTCTCAGTCTGTGGCATGCTGTCACATATTGTGCAGCTATTTTGACCACTGGCTCCTCTTCTACCAGTAGAATTTGGAGTTTCCTCCTCTCTTCTATAGAAGTGAAGTCCGGGATTAGAGTGGAGAGTCTCTGGAAGTGAGTGTCCCTCACTGATGAGTACTTGGGGCACTGTAGCAGGAAATGGTCCTCGTCCTCCAGGACCCCCTGGTCACATTGCTGGCACAGTCTACTCTCCCTGGGCTTATAGGTCTGTCTGTGCCATCTGATTCGATTTCCAGGCCGTGGGCCGTCTGTACCGCTTCAGGGTCTGTCTGTCTGTCTGTCTTTGGGGTCTTGTAGAACCTCCAGGTATGGGGCCAGTTTGTAGTCTCTCTGCAGTGATTGGTAAACAGTTAGTTTTCTTTGAGTTTGCTATTTAATTTCTCCATTTCTCAACATATTTTTCTTGGGAATCATTCATTATGTTTTTATCTGAGCTTTAGGAAATCTGCCCAGCTCAGACTGACCAGCACTGTTGGGGGTGCTCCGATGGATTTGGAGGAGGTGCTTGCAGCATTCCAGGTGAAATATTTCTGGCGGGCTGGAGTCCCATTTGGATTGGTCTGGGTAGGTGACAGGACGCCAAACTTCACTGCCATAAAGAAGGATTGGGGTGATAACGCTATTAAAGTGTTTAATCCAGACTCTTACTGGTGGTTTTAGGTGGTACAGCTGTCTCCTGATGGCGTAGAAGGCTCTGCATGCCTTGTCTTTCAGGGCCTCTATGGCTGGCTTGAAACTTCCTGATTGGTTAATTTGGGCGAAGGTATATGTAGCTGTGGGATTCATTAAGAGTGCATTTGTTTAATGTAAAGGAAGGGCTCTTCATTTGGTTTGCGTGCTTCCTTTGGAACACCATGATTTTTGTTTTCTTTGAATTGATAGATGGTGCCCATGTGGCACTGTATTTCCCCAGCACTTCCAGGCTGTCTTGTAGGCCTTTCTCTGTTGGTGACAGTAGTAGGAGGTCATCCACATACAGCAGGAACTTCACCTTGGTGTCACGTAGAGTCAGTCCAGGTGCTGGGGAGGATTCCAGAGCTGCAGCCAGTTTATTGATGTAGATGTTGAAGAGGGTTGGACTTAGGATGCAGCCCTGTCTGACTCCATGGGCCTGCCAGAAGTGCTCTGTTCTTTTCTCGTTCACCTTTACACTGCAGCTGTTCTTGGTATATGAACTCTTGATGGCATCAAATGTTTTCCCTCCTATCCCACGCTCTAATAGTTTCAGGAACAGGCCTGGGTGCCACACTGATTCAAATGCCTTCTTAAAGTCCACAAAACAGGCAAATACCTTTGCATGTTTTGTATTGTGGACATGGTTATTGATGAGACTGTGCCGGATGTAGATGTGGTCTGTAGTGCGGTGGTTTGGTATGAACCCCGCCTGGCTTCTAGTGAGGACATTGTGTTGCATCAGGAAGTTGAGGATACTGTTGAATAGTTTCCCCAGTGTGCTGCTGACACATATTCCTCTGTAGTTAGCTGGATCATCTGGTCTCCACTCTTATGGATGGGTGTTATGGGTCCTTGGTTCCATACTCGAGGGATTATTGGAGTTATCTTGACTATTGCTGGAGTTTGTCATGTTGATTTTTTGGATTTTGATTTGTCTCACCCATCTATTGTTTGCTGGTGGGCCCTTTGTCTGTACAGACTATCCCTTTTAATTCTCTCTCCTGATTGTTGAGCATGGTTTGTGATTTTAGGGCCCTTATCTCTTCCCTCAATTAAGTGTCTTCTTCTTGTAGTTTTTATATTGTTTCCCCTGGTCCCAGCTCTGAGTGCAGGCGGGTGAAGGAGCTCAGTGGCTACTCAGGAACACCAGTGCACCTCCTCGATCCAGCCAGGTCTGTCTCTTCCTACAGCAGCAGAAAGCCAGCGGGACGGGGGAGGGGGAGAAACCGGCTTTCAGCTGCTGGAGGGAGAGATACACAGGGCATTGTTCTGCAACTGCCCTCCCCCACCACACCAATTCTCCTGCTGTCTGGGCCACCAACAGAAGTTCTGGTGGTACCCCTCACATGGCGGCCCTGCATGACTCAGTCCGCCGCTGCTAACCAGTTCCCTTATTCCAGGTGTCGCCCACCTAAAAATTGCTGCCCTAGGCAAACGCCTTGTTTGCCTCACGGTAAATACACCACTGTACTGATGCTCAACCCCTCTCCAAGTCTGGGTGCTGCTGTACAGGGGATTACAAGAAGCTGATATCAAGCCAAATTCAAGTACTTAAACTAGCTTTGAATAAAATATACTTATTTAAATTATTACAGAACCACATTCATTGGTATTCTTTATACACTATATTGCCAAAAGTATTGGGATGCCTGCCTTCACACACACATAAACTTTAATGGCATCCCAGTCTTAGTCAGTAGGGTTCAATATTGAGTTGGCCCACACTTTGCAGCTATAACAGCTTCAACTCTTATGGGAAGGCTGTCCACAAGGTTTAGGAGTATGTCTATGGAATGTTTGACCATTCTTCTAGAACTGCATTTGTGAAAACAGGCACTGATGTCGGATGAGAAGGCCTGGCTCGCAGTCTCTGCTCTAATTCATCCCAAAGGTGTTCTATCGGGTTGAGTTCAGGACTCTGTGTAGGCCAGTCAAGTTCCTCCACCCCAAACTCACTTATCCATGTCTTTATGGACCTTGCTTTGTGCACTGGTGTGCAGTCATGTTGGAACAGAAAGGGGCCATCCCCAAATTTTCCCACAAAGTTGGGAGCATGAAATTGCCCAAAATGTCTTGGTATGCTGATGCCTTAAGAGTTCCCTTCACTGTAACTAAGGGGCCAAGCCCAACCACTGAAAATTAACCCCACACCATAATCCCCCCTACACTAAACTTTACACTTGACCCAATGCAGTCAGGCAAGTACAGTTCTCCTGGCAACTGCCAAACCCACATCTATTGCATTGCCAGACAGAGAAGCGTGATTGGTCTCTCCAGAGAACATGTCTCTACTGCTCTTCTGCACACTGTGCGCTTCAGCATGCACTGATCCCGCTCTGTCGTTTTATGTGGCCTACCACTTCGTGGCTGCATTGCTGTTGTTTCCAGTTGCTTCTATTTTGTTATAATACCACTAACAGTTGACTGTATAATATTTAGTAGCAAGGAAATTTCACGGATGGACTTATTGCACAGGTGGCAACCTATCATAGTACCATGCTTGAATTCACTGAGCTCCTGAGAAGGACCCATTCTTTCACAAATGTTTGTAAAAGCAATCTGCATGCCTAGGTGCTTGATTTTATACATCTATGGCCATGGAGGTGATTGGAACACCTGAAACTAATGATTTGGAGGGGTGTCCGTCCCAATACTTTTGGCAATATAGTGTATGTGCCTGTAGTTAACATAAAGTGGAACTAAACTGTATCTGAGCACCACAAATTGAAAATGCTATTTAATTAATTTTAGTATTCAAAGCAAACTCGCCCATCCATCCGTGTCTCCATGCTTTATTTTGTTGAGAAATCACTTTGAACTCCACCCCCACAGCATTTCTAGCCGTTGCCATCTTGTCAATTTGTGATAAACCAACCAATTTTTTACAAAACTATTAACTGATATAGCCATATGCATTAACATTAATCTGCACAGTATGACTTGGAATCAGATTTTGCCAGACCAAAAATATGACCATACAATCATACAGACATACTGTATCTGTTAGATCTGGACATTCTGGGGTTTATTTACTAAAGTTGGAGAGTGCAAAATCAGGCTCACTTCTGCATAGAAACCAATCAGCTTCCAGGTTTTATTGGCAAAGCGTAATTGAACAAGCTGAGGTTAGAAGCTGATTGGCTACTATGCACAGCTGCACCAAATTCTGAGTACACCAGTTTTAGTAAATCTACCCCTCTGTGACCAGCCTAAATGTACATATTGTACAAGGGGAAAAAAAGGGTCTTATGATGACCAGTAGGGATGAGCTGAGTATTCAGTCTGAATTTAGGTGGTGTCCCTCTTAAAATTCATACCAGAACTAAAAGGCCTGAATGAATTGGGGGGAACCCTGTCCCTTTTTTGGCTGCAGGTACCCAATTAACACCTATAATGAGACCTTCATCTAGGAAAAGAGCTTTGTATATATGAATAGAATACCTGGCCGCTTTGTTTACAAGCAAATGAAGTGCCTGGGAGCTGTCATTTTTTGTTTAGCACATTTCTCTTTGTAAATGTCAGTTTTGCTGTAAATTGCACAGATAAGCCACTTCCCAGGCATGTAGTTTAAGAGAGTTTTGCATTTTCAATGTTTCACTGTACACATTTCTAAAATCTCAACTCCTCTCCAAACAGAATTTAATTTTTTTTTTCTTTGATACATGTCCCCAATGGCAGTGCCCAGCTCCCCATGCCATTTGCTTGACAATTCCTTGCTCGTTAGCCAGAAAATGGCCAGAATATTTGTTTTGTTTTTAATATTCAGCTCTGGTTGATTTCAGTGGGGTTCAGGTTTGGCACCCAAACTTTAGTAATGTTTGCCGAACCCTTCTCAAACAGAACCCAGGTACATTTGGCTCATCGCTGACCACCTGCATTGGTGGAGATGACTGAATTCACCAGTCTACTCATTTGATATATGAGCTGACATCAGTCACACAACAAAGATTTTTGCATTCTGCATCTGTTAAATAATTTACTTGTATATGACCACCCGCCTTTGTACTTGATGTACTTTGATGTTTTTTCGGTGCATGCAAATAAACGAAAATAGAACAGGTGGCAACAAACTATAAATAGGAAAAATGTTGGTATGATGGCACAAAGACAGTCTAAAAACGGTATGAAGGGCAAGATTAGGCTTCATAGATGATGTCTGATTGCAAAACAGTGCCAGGTGCTGTCAACAGACTACTAATGACCCATATGACCGGTGACAGGAGGGAAATAAACCCATCAGCAAACCACCCAGTCAACACAAGTGATTAAATGGTGCCTCATATGTATTTCTCATAATTATCTCATCTAATTAAGAGATTGGAAATGTAAATCCATATTTCAAGATTACATTTAATAAATGGCTTGGTCAGTAAAGATGACACATAAAGTTCATTATCTTTAATCCTCCATCTAGGTGTGTACAGTATACATATCATACATCTGTGCTGCCTGCAGAGATCCCCTGCCATTCTATATTTGGAAGATAATTTATCATGTACTTGCCAGAAATATCACAACATATAAGAGATCACGCCATTCTCTATTTAGGGCCTGGCTTAGATTCAGAAAAGCTTTTGCTGCAATATTAGGTATTTGTAGAATTTAATGCAGATGTGCAAACACTAAGTTTAATAGCTAAGTATGCCATATATGCCAAAATGCTCCACTCTGTACACTGTGATGTATGTTATATACTGTGTACTATTCTATTTTGTATACTGTGCTGTAGGTTATACAGTATATACCGCACCACTCCATTTTAATTACTGTGCTGTATATCTGTGTTTTTCAACCTTTTTCTAGCTGGGGCACCCTTGAAAAGTATTTTCAGTCTTGAGGCACCCCAGTCTAAGGCTTGGTTCACATTACTGCGTGTCGTGGAATGCGTAGAAAATCATGCATGTCCCTTACACGTACACTCACTGCTCTTTAGCAGACATGCAAGAGTGTCATTAATTCTTAATAGTACCCCCATGCATTGTTAAACATGGTGCATTTTCAGCACAGTTTAAAAAAGAAAAAGGGCAGGGAATTATTTCCCTTTGTTTCTGCGGGCAGCCCATTAAAATGAATGCGCTGTCCTCTAAGCTCAGATGTGAACCAAAGGCTCGTTCACATGTGAGGTTGGAGAGTGGTAAAACCACATGTCTGAGCTGCATTTTTACCATTCCCAACTGCTCCTTCTTTGTAGAGGCAGCAGCTGGGAGTGTACATATGCTGTGGCTGTGACTAGTCCCAGGTGAATGGGGCTGCGCCGCAACTGCCTCGAAACTGTGTTCATTGCATGCGCTTATGTTATGGTGATGCTGCATTTAGGGGTTAAAACAGGTGCTAAAGAGGCAACATATTGCCTCTTCACTGCCTGTCATATGCCTCTGAAAAGTGATCTGAACATGGATTGCTTTTCAGAGGAGTGTTGGTCCTTGCTGGTATTATATACAAGCCCTAAAATCAGTTCTGATTCTACAGGAACAGGGGATCAGGATTACACGTAATGTACATACATGCGCATATAAACGCTCATGTACATACATACATACACTCCTGTACACACACATACATATATAAACACACATACACATATAAACACATAATAATAAAAAAGTGCAGATGATTTACATATAGATGCAAAACACATATAAGAATAAAATCAAAAGTCCAGTCCACAAGCCTTGAAATATAGGGAATGAGCCCCTCTCCCCTGGATCCACAACACTTCTATGGATATCTCAAAAAATGGCCAAGAGGAAAGAGAGGAGGAATCCTTCACCACCAAACACACTTCCTCTTACTGGATAGTTTTGACCCCCAATTACAGATGGGTCAATTTGTGCTGTATGAAACCCAAAAGGCAAGCCATGGATATGGGTGCTCTTTGATTCCAAATCTTCACACCAAACAAAGCTCAAGGAAAAACCTAAAAAATAATTCTCCTCATTATTATTATTATTATTATTATACAGGATTTATATAGCACCAACAGTTTGTCAGCACTTTACAAAATGAAGGTAGACATTGCAGTTACAACACAATTTAGTACAAGAGGAAACAGAGGGCCCTGCTCGTTAGAGCTTACAATCTATGAGGAAGGGTTGAGTGATACAAAAGATAATAGCTGTGGGGGGGATGAGCTGATGGAGGAAATAAATGGCGATTTACTAGGTAGAAGCAGGATAGACTTCTTTAAAGAGGTTTTCAGGGATCGTCTAAATGTGGATAGATTAGGAGACAGCCGGACATATTGGGGTAGAGAGTTCCATAGGATGGGAGAAGCTCTGGAGAAGTCCTGGAGGCAAGCATGGGAGGAGGTGACATGGGAACTAGAGAGCAGAAGGTCTTGGGAGGATCGAAGAGAGCAGTTTTGGTTGATATTTTGAGACCAGGTTGGTGATATAGCTGGGGGCAGAGTTGTGGATGGCTTTGTAAGTTATTGTTAGCATTTTGAATTTTATTCAATAAGAGTGTGGAAGCCAGTGGAGGGATTGGCAGAGAGGGGTAGCAGACACTGAACGTTTGGTAAGGCGGATGAGCCTGGTACCAGTATTCATGATGGACTGGAGGGGGATAGCCTATGTAAAGGTAAGCCAATGAGGATGGAGTTGCAGTAGAGGACAATCCAATTCAAAAGATGACAGGAATCCTCATAGTGTAGTATTTTATATCAAATTTATTGCCTCAAACATAGTAAAAATTGTACATAATCATAAAGAAAAAACAGTATGTCACAAAGTCTTGGATGGAAAAGTTCCTAACCAGCAAAATGACCACCACGTTCCGGTGCGCAATGACCTTACACGCTCTGGCTCCTCCCTATGGGTTTCATCATCAATGACGTCCTGAAGGGCGTGGCCAACATCATATTTATAGAGAGAAAGGAATCCCCTCCTCCATCATTTTACTTGGACAAACACTGGAACAGGAAGAGAAAACTGGGCACAAGCCCAGGACCGCCGCAGCACATCCTGTCATTAACGAGCAGTTAATAGCTCCAGGCATAAAATATGAATATTATTCCAAGTGGTCTAATTTAGAAACATATGAATCCGGCCATTATATAACTGCAACTGAGAGATAAAAACAAGCCATCGCGATACCGGTCATAGCTCCATCTTATGCTCAAAAAAGAAATGGCAATTGCCAGTATACAGTAATATACATCAAAAAAGATAAAAAAATTTATATAGATCTCATACAGAAAATAAAAATAGTTATAATAGTTATAATAATTAATATAATTAATTAAAAAGCAACCCGAAACCTTTAGCTGTTGTTAATGAATGCATTGACATCCCATTCGATCGTGAGCCCATATGGTGTACATATTTTTGAGGTGTAAATCCACCATGTTTCCAACTTAAAAATCTCTTGCTTAGTATAACTGATTATGAAAACCTTTCTTAATATTGGCAATATGTTCTTTTAACCTGGTCTGTAGTGTCCTAATAGTGCGTCCTACATATGGAAAGAAAGAATATATCTTTTCCAGAGAATAAATGTGGATGGCTCTGTTCGTAGATAACTTCCTTCTCCCATCTAGCCATAAAAGCTTAGCCATACTGGGAGAAAATTTAGCTCCCATTGCCACTCCTCTTTTTAGCAAGTAGTACATATCTTCAAACCAGAAGTAATTATGCCCTA